GACACGATGACATGGAAAATGCGGGCTGGTACGGTGGAGCCGGTTCTGACCCGTAGTGACCCCGTGCTGGGCCAGCCTCACTGGAGCTCTGTCTGTACGCCCCAAATATCAGGAGCAGGGACTAGACAGGGCGTTTCATGGGTCAGAGTGTGGTTTCTCAGCCCGGCTGAGCCATGAATCCTCATGGGGGCTGCAGGCGCCGTGTTGGACGGACTTGCTGAGTAGTGGCTGGAGAGTCAAGGATGGGGGTGTCTGCGCTTCTGCGGGGGCCCCTGCTTTCACCCTCAGTCATTCATTTGATGTCACCCTTGACTATTTCATTTTCCCAGGGAGACTGTGAGGTTCTGAGCCGGCGATTGAGTTCAGACCTCAGCCTCCCTCTCTGCTACACCCTTGGAGGGGGGCGGCCACAGGGCTCATCCCCCTGGGGGTTGCCCTCAAAACAAACTACCCCTGTTTCCGACCCTTTGCCCCTGTCCTCCTCCCATGCAACGTGTCCCCCTCGGCCGGGACCCCTGCTAACCTGTCCAGAGGAGTGGCTATGCACTGGGCTTCCAACCACAAGGTCCGCAGTTCGAAACCACGCTCGGAAAAAGAGGAGGCTTTTCTACTCCCGTGAAGAGTAACGGTCCAGGAAACCCACAGGGGCCGTTTTGCCCTGTTCTAGTAGGAGCCTTGACGGTGTCGTGGTTACCTTTGGGCCTGCTAGCCACAAGGTCAGCAGTTTGAAACCAGCAGCGGCTCCCTGGGGAAAAGACGGGGGTTTCTACTCCTGTGGAAAACTTGATCGTCTCCTCAGCCCATAGGGGTCGTTCTGCCCTTTCCTATAGGGATTCTTGGAACTCGTAGCGGTGGTGGTATTGGGGTTGTTGTTTGAATAGGGTGACTGTGAGCCAGAACGAAGTCGATGGCAGTGAGTTTGTTTGCGTCTCCTTGGGGACAGAAATCCAATCTTATCCTTCTTTGCAAATAGCATGAACTCAGCGCCCTCCCAGTCCTTCCCCTTCGGTGTCTTCTGATCACACACAAAGCCCCCCCCCCCAGGGCCCCCTCTTTGAGTGCATCTCACCCACTTCTTCCCAGCCTACGGCCTCCTTGGACTTCCTCAAGGCCTGCCTCAGGACCTGACCTTTCCGTATACTGTGCCCGGGACCCTGTGCTGTCCCCTCGGACCACCTTTCCAGCCTGACTTGTTCATGCCCTTCAGGTCTCAGCTCCGATGCCACCTCCTCTGAGAAGCCCACCCGACGGCTTGCCCCTGCTATCCTGCATGCAGTGGGCTCTCAGCCAATATCTGAAAGTTAAATAGGAGCTCAGGTGGCCTGGTATTTACCAGACACCAAAAGGGTTTTGGAAGCATGACGGGTGACTCACTGGGCCGCTAACCACCAGCAGCTGGCTCCGAGGGAGCAAAGTGAGACTGTCTGACCCCGTGAAGATGGACACGCTGACACCCAAACGGGTAGTTTTCCCCTGCCCTGCAGGGTTGCTGTGAGTCAGACCGGCTTGATGACAGAGGCTTGATTTGTTTGTTTTTGTTGATTTTCTATGCACCAGGGAGCCCTGGTGGTTCAGTGGTTAAAGCACGCAGCTGCTATCTAAAAGGTCAGAAACTCAAATCCCCAAATTTAAGGAACCTGAATGTTCCTTAAAAAAAGGGACAGCAAAATTTGGTGTCCTGTCCTTTGGACGTGTTGGCAGGAGAGGCCCGTCCCTGGAGAAGGACATCGTGCTTGGTAAAGTGGAGGGGCAGCGAAAGAGAGGACAGCCCTCCAAGAGATGGACGGACGGATGGACACAGTGGCTGCAACCATGGGCTCAGGCATGGCAATGAAGGTGAGGTGGGGCAGGGCGGGCTGTGATTTTTTTTCTGGGTTGCTTATATCTAATCCTGTCCCAGCCCCTCTTTGTCTAGAATAGACCCCAGTTGGGTCGCTGGGTCACTGTAGTGGTGGTGGAGTTCACTGTGATTCAGAGCAAGCTGACGTGTCCCTAACAATCTCGGGGCTCATAGGCGCAAATGTACGGCAGTCCTCTAGGAAGATCTAGTGAAGGCGTGGAAGATAGGAAGGACGGGAAAGAGGGTTATAAATCAAGGCATCAGACACATTTCAGGGTGGCATGCTCACCTCCTGGATGGCCGTGATCTCTGCAGCCAGGTCCCCACAGAAAGTGGGAGGGGGAGAGCCCTCCTTATTTCTGACCAAGACCTATATATACCTGATCACAGGTAACCACCTACGTAACAGGAAGGGGCTGTACCATAGGCATCCACAGGATGGGGGTGGGGTGAGGTTGGGGGGGAGAGATGAGCTAGGGGTGTACACACAGTGGGAAGGGGCGGCACTAAGTACACTTGTGACAAGATGGGCGTATCCTAGATTCAAGATGCCAGCCTAACTTAGTCTTTGAGTGGGCTTGACCCTTTCCCTGGGTTCTCCAGGGAAACAATCACTATCCTCCCCAGGAGGGTGTGAGCCCCGTCTACAGTAGGGTGTGAGCCCCATCTTCAGTGGGACAGACACTAGTCTAACTGTTCTGGATGCCCTCAGGGAGAAAAGCTGACTTGCACCAGAGCTAGCAATCTGGAGACACCCCCCCACCCCCCCGGGGGATCTTGTTTGTATCCCACACTGATGCACAATAAGAAGGAGACGCCGCCTAGTCCTACACCACCCTCACCATTGTTCTTAGGTTGAGCCCATGGAATTACTCTGGCTGTAATTCTCCCAAGACAGGCTTGCTGGTTCTTGCCGGGCCCTTCTCTCTCCAGCCACCCACCCCACCGGCAGTCTGCGAGGGCTTCCGTCTCTCCACGCCAGCGTCAGCATTGGCAGTCAGCTCCCTGTTCTGTGGTATTTTGCTCCTGGTCCGTTGAATAAGGCAGACTTAAGAACAACAGTGAACCCTCGTGTATCACGGTTAATCGGTTCTAGACCCTACCGTGATAAATGAAATTCCGCGAAGTAGGATTCCTTATTTGTAAATCAAATTTTTTCATAGTTAGAGCATAGAGGACATGAAAAAACACCCTTTAGTCACCATTACACTCGTATTACCCAATTTATTAGACGAAAAAGGGAAAATACAGTAAAACATTTTGGACGTTACAATTATCGTTTATTATTTATTATATTATTTATGGCATCAAGCGTGTACAGTATGAGCCAATCAGTGGCAGTCATGACAGAGCATGCGCTGTTACGCAAAAACCGCGATAGAGTGAAGCCGCGGAAGTCGAAGCGCGAAGTGGCGAGCGTTCACTGAATAGCTGGAGCTGGCTGAAATTATCGATAGGACCAGGGACAGCTAAAAGGTCCAAACAAGTCTGTCTTGGAAGAAGTGCCGCCAGCATGCACCTTAGAGGCAAGGATGGCAAGACTCGGTGTCCCGTGCCTTGGACATGTTGTCGGGAGAGACCAGTCCCGGCTGCAACGGTGGGATCGCGCATGGGCACGGTTGTGCGGCGGGCAGCTCCGGGCAGTGTTTCCTTCCGTCGTGCACGGCTGCTGAGGGTCGGAACAGCAGCAGCAGCGTGGATGCAGCGAGGAGATGCTTTCTTCTTGCTGACCCCATTTCTTCTCGCACTCACACTCTGCCTCTCAGCTCTGCCTCTCCCGGCCACTGGTCAGGAGCATTTCTTCATTTGTTTGTTCCGGATGTCTTCTGTGGGGACGTCTGTCCGTCTCTGCCTCGTTCCTAACGGGTGTGTTTGTGTTTGGGTTGGTTTGTGTGTGCACTGTTTTTGTTGTGGGGGAATTGTCTAGCAATAGGATGAGATTAACCTCCGGTCGGTCCACTAGGTCATCGCTAAACGTTGCTTGCCCGCAGTAAGTTCTCTCGCGGGGAACGTCTTTCATTCCCTGTGGTTATGTTTTCAGGGGATCCACTTGTCTGGTTGGCCTCCTGCTGTCTGTGAATTTAAAGTTAGGTCTCAGGGCCCCTAAGTTTGGCCCTGTTTTCACTGGAGAGCCGTTTCCGGGCGGGGCGGATGGGGGGGAGATGACATGAGCTCCTGAGTTCTCAGAGCGCACAGAAATTAACTCCCCAGAAAAGAAAGAAGTCAACTCCAGCAGGTACAAGCGGTTGCTGACAGGTGCCATGGAGTCGGCTCTGACCCATGGCAGCCGCCGGGCACAATAGGCTGAAACTGTCCGGTCCTACACCCTCCTGTCAACGGCGCCCAGGCCTGAGCGCATTGTCGCAGCCGAGCTCTCTCCTCCTTTCCTCTGCCCCTCCACCTCTCCGAGGATCCTGGACCTACGAGAAAAACCCCAAACTGCAAGGATCATCCATGGACACACGGGATGGCTCTTCCTTTCAAAGTTGGAACAGCCAGACGACGCGGCAGGCCCGGCCCCAGGTCTAGATCCTCGGAAGCCAGAGCCAGGCTGACAGCAGTTCACAGCAGCCACAATCGGAACGCCTACCCCAAGATGCAGCCACGGGGCGCTACACAAAGTGACAGAGTCACCAGGGAGCCGCCCTACCCACCAGGACTGGGAGGAGCGGTGCTGAGGGACAGTCTCACGGCCATTGAGTCCTTGTGAACGTGGGGTGACCCCACAGGACAGACCAGCACGGAGTGCAATCCGCACCCACTCGGGCGAAACGTCAAGACAAGGTTTACACACAGAACACGTCCTTCTTTGAAGGGCACGGGGGTGGAAGGCCTGGGGGCCTGGTTTCACCTTGGCTGCCATCCTCGAGGTTAGCGGTTTGAAACCACCAGTTGCTCCGAGAGAGAAAGACCGGGCTTCCTCCCCCAGCCAAGAGCCATGGTCTCTATGGATTGTTATGAGCTATAAGAGCCCCCATTACAATGATTTATTAAAAACAAACAACAGAGAGCCACAGTCTTAGAAACCCACAGGGTCACTGTGACTTGGCAGTGGGTTGTGTGAGGGGGAGGAGGGGGCGGAAGGGTTATCTTTGACCTCCTGGAAATGTCCTTTGTCCATCTAGTCTGTAGCAATGACTCAGCCCCCTAGGGGTTAAAGGCTCTCTCCTCAGGCCCAGAATTTTAAGAGGGTTCCCTAAAACTCAGGAGCAGAGATAAATAATATTTGCATGGGGTATTTTTGTTACAAATCCGCTGCACAACATTTGAAGGTTTCTGCTAAGAGACCACCCGCCCTCCTGCTCTGTCCGGCTGGGCCGGGCCCGTGATGCGGTCTGCTGCAACTCGGGGTGTGGGTCCTGTTCTTGATTGAAATCTAGTATCACTTCTTCTTCCTGACAGCTGTCTTATGCATTCTTTTTTTTTTTTTTTCGTTTTTAAACATTGGCGTGCAAGTACTCTTTGTCGCGAGGGCCGGGGTCGAAAGCCTCGGCTTTCTCCCCTGAAGGAGCTGGTGGTTTTTGAACTTCTGACCTTGAGGTCAGCAGCCCAGGAAGGCTCCCACAACCCCACCCGGGCTCCTCGCTGATCATTGGCACAAAGTAGGAAAGCGGTGTCCCCAGGCAGAGCGAGCTTGCTTTGACTGCTGTGGTCAGCCTGGGACGTGTCTCGGCGTGTCTTCCACAGACACTAGAGGACTGCACGTGGCCGTGAGTCAGACGCTGACCAAGGTGGCCAGACGGTCCCGAGCCCATCTTGTCTTATCTGTACGAGTGTCGGGATCCTAACCGTGGTCCCTCCCTGGCTTTGTGATGAGCTCACAATCTTGATTTTGTGACGAATTTCCTGAGCATGTGTCCACACAGCGGTGGACCTACTGCTGCCCATGCAGCGCTGGGTGTGGTGATCTCTCACTGTCATTACGACTGTGATGCTCCTCAAGGTGGTGCAGAGGAGCCCCCAGGAAGAGTGATTCAATGGATCGAATACAAAAAGCAAAGACAAGGCCCCGTGCCATCTGAATCAATTCCCACGCACAGATAGCATCCTGAGACAGGGCTTCTGAGACGATAGACCTTTATTTTATTCTATATTTTCTCATGGTAGCATGCTCACCGCAGCTCCTCTTGGCGGTACACGTGATGGGAGACGAGAGGGCATTTATTGCTAGCCAAGGCTTATATATCTTTTGGGGACATGCAAGACCACTTCCTCCTCCTCCTCCTCCTCCTCCTCTCTCAGAGGGGCTGGTGGGTTTGAACCACTGGCCTTATGAATTCTACAGATGTTGCTACGTGATGTCTAGGGGAGTCAGGCTCATAGGGACCCATGCCCCACAGAACGAAGCTCTACCACGTCCTGCACCATCTTCGCCGTGGTTGTTACCTGAGCCCATCGGGGCGGCCACTGTGTCCAGCCGTCGTGTTGAGGGTCTTCCTTCTCTTCCTTTGACCCTCCACTTTATAAGGTGTGATGCCCTTTGGGGGCAGTGGCGCTAATGCATGGGGACTGGTGTGGTGGGCGCCTCTTAGGATGCATGGATCAAAGTCCACTTTGTTGGCTGTCCTTAAGTCAGTCCCAAGCCTGGAGACCCTCCCCCCACGATGAAGACAAGAACCGCCCCCTATGTGGGTTTTCAAGCCTGTGTCACCTTTGCGCCGAAGATGCCCCCCCATCTGTCTTCTGAGGCCCCCTTGGGTGTGTTCAAACTGCAGACCTTGTATGTCGTAATGGAGGCTCAGCCTTTGGGTCACCGGAGCAACATCATGAGAAAATATCGAATGGTCGAGGACTTCATTTTACCTGGGTCTGTAGAGAACACCCTGGGCCACAGCAGTCAGAGAAATCATAGGACATGTTGCCTTGGGTATTATGAAAGACCTCCAAGGGTTAAAGACCAGAGAGAGCTAGCTCCCTGATGACTAAGGTGTGCCTGACCCCAGCCATGGTATTTTCAATGACCTCATCTGCATGGGAGAGCCGGGTATGAGGAAGGAAGAATTGGAGCCTTCGGACGAGTGTGGACGATTGAAAGGACCCAGGAGTCGACCACCGGAATTAGGAGTGCAGTTGTCTTGGAAGGATAGGCAGAATGTTCTGGAGTAGCTAGCAACGTGGAAGAGACTTCAGCTCACATGCTTTGGAGAGGGGCCCCATCCCTGGAGAGGACAACGTGCTCAGTCAAGTAGAGGGGCAGTGGCAAAGAGGTCGTAGACCCTCGATGGATGGACACAGTGGTTGCAACCATAGACTCAAACACAAACCATTGGAGGATGGCGCAAGACAGGGGCAGCGTTTTGTGCACGGGGTCACTGTGAGTCAGACCCCCCTGGACGGCACCAAATAACATCCAGGGCAGATGGTAGACACGGAAGATAAACAGGAGAAATTGCACAGGGGAAACAGTATAAGGCACTCTGTACTTTGTGCACGTTTACCTGTCCAACGTAAAGCTGCTTTAAAGCAGCCGCTGCGGTGTGGTGGCTGATTCTTTGTGCTGTGAACCTCAAGGATGGCAGTTCAAAACCCCACCCCGCCTTGGGGCCAGCATGGGGATGTGAACCTTTGAAATAAAAAAAAAGCCGCTCTAAAAAGAAATGGCTATTTTTAAAAATCGCATCTATAAATTAGAAGGTACATGTTGCATATGAAAGGCTATATGTAGCTACTGTAGTCACCTCCTCTGCGCCGCCTGGCCTCTCCCTTCCGGCGCTGCAGGCGCAGTGACCCGACACGACCACCTGGTGGTGCTGCCGCGCCTCGCAGCGCGCGGACCTTTCGCGCCCGGGTGGGCGGTGCGGAGGCGAAGGGATGCGTCAGTTCGACCCGCGGGCCGTGGGAGCCCGGGGGCGCTAAGCCTCGTGGCCGAGGCCAGACTGGCGGGGGAAGGGGGCGAAGACATGAGTCAACATGGAGCCCCCGAGCGGCCGTGGGAAGCCATCCCACGCGCGCCTTTCAGGGCGGGGGGGCATGGGGGAGTGGCAGCGAGGCTGGCGAAGGTCCCTGCGTGCAGGGGCGCCAGGTGCACACGCGTGGCTGCAACCTGAGCCTCTTCAAGCCTCAGTTTCCCGTTTTGCACGCTGGCATTCGCGTAGCCCCTGCTTCCCGGGTCCTCGAGGTCGAAATGAACCAGCAGATCGCGTGTGCTACACAGCACGCGCCCAACACAAGCCAGTGCCCACCAGGGAGGAGGGCGGCTCTCCAAGTGGCGGTCGTGACTGCAAACATCCCCGGGGCGGCCGCGCGCAGCTCCAGCCAAAGTCGCCGGCTCTCGTTTCGCTGCTCGCCCCGATGCGGCCAAGCGGTGGGGCCGGAGGCGGCCGGTAGGGGGCTCGCCCGCTCTGGACACAAACGGCCGGGGCCGAGCCACCTGCGCCGCGGGTTTCAGACTGGGGCGCGAGCGGGGGCGCCTCCCCTCTCTTTCGCTGGAGGGCGAGGCCTCTGGCGGCCCTCACTTTTTGGGGGGGGGTGTCCTCGAAGTGGCCTTAACGCGCCCACCAGCCGAGTAGCTGGCGTTTTCGAGGGTCTACTGTCTGCTTCTTATTGTATTGTCTGCGCCCCCAGCCCCCCAATCCAAAGTAAGGGACGCTGCATTTGCTGGGGGCGCGCGCAGAGAACCTGAGAGGTTAAGTCACCCAGGGCTGGGGGTCCCCGCAGCTAGGGGAGACCACCACTTCCTGGAGGGATCGGAGTGCAAAGGGGTCCCTTTCCTGTGCGTGCCCCCTCTGCATGCATGCTCCTTCCCGGTGCACACCACCTTTGGGAAAGGCTCGAGTCGGGGACTCTCCGGGGTAGAGGAGGGGATTCCAGGCCACCTCTCTCCGACCCTAACTCCGAAAGTCAGGGCCGACTTGCGCGCTGGAAATCCCGCGCGCGCCCCGAAACGCGGCGCGGCTGCCGGGAAATCAGGAGAAAAAAAACTTCTGCTTTTTTTTTTTTTTTCCTGTGGGCACTAGCGTCCCCCCCTTAACTCCTGCGGGCGAGCGCACCCACGTGGGGCACCCCCGCGTGGCACTCCGCCCCTTTATAACTGGGACCAATCGTAGCGCGCGCTGCCCTCGCCTTTGTTGGCTAGCCAATAGGGAGCTCGGGCCCCCGCAGGCCGAGGCCACGCCCAGATATGAGTCCATAAAAGGCGGCACCACGGTCGCGGAGCCCAGATCGCTGGAGCCCAGGAACTACTTTTCTTCCGTGGACACTGGATTACTCGCGCTAAGGACTTTTCAGTTTTTGGACGTGTGGTCGCCTCCAACTTTTCGGGTGGGGATTTCGCTGCTGCCTCAGGAAGGCTTGGACTAACTAACGCTCCGGCTCTGTGGGAACGTATTGGGCTGTGTTCGAGTTCTGCTTTTTCTCCCCTGGCACCGTGGCTAGGTGGTTGTCATTGTGGATTATAATTGCAACATGACACTGGAAGAGATCGTGGCGTGCGACAACGCGGCGCAGAAGTAAGTAGCCGGGGTCCCCGTCGCCGAGGTCAACCGGGACCAGAGGGCTGGGCTGGGCTGAGCCGAGGCCGGCAGGGGACGCTTAGCTCGGTGGCCGGCTCGGCGTGACCACCCTGTCCCCTGGATCCGCAGGATGCAGATGGTGAGCGCTGCCGTGGAGGAGCTGCTGGTGGCTGCGCAGCGGCAGGACCGCCTGACTGTGGGGGTGTACGAGTCGGCCAAGCTGATGAATGTGTGAGTCACCCCCTCCCCAGGGCCCGGCACGGGGTGGGGTCCCCTCACCCCTGTGCTGTGCAACGCTCCCACAGCCCCTCTCTTGCTCTGGGACTTCCCCGAGCACATCCCCCCCCTCTGTTTGGGGGGGGGGCTCATTTGCATTGAAAAGAGACGTTGCATTTTTTTAATTTTGGGGTTCTGGTTTGGCCCTCTTGCCCCATACTTTGCACGGAGCCCCATTACCTCCCCCGCCTGCACGCACTCTGTCCCCGATATGCACGCACGCAGCCCGGGGCCTCTCGCTTTCAGCAAACACTACCGGGTGCGCGGCGTCCCCGGCTGACCCGCCCCTCCCCCCGCCCCTGCAGGGACCCCGACAGCGTGGTTCTGTGCCTCCTGGCCATTGACGAAGAGGAAGAGGACGACATTGCGCTGCAGATCCACTTCACGCTCATCCAGTCCTTCTGTTGCGACAACGACATCGACATCGTGCGCGTGTCCGGCATGCAGCGCCTGGCGCAGCTGCTGGAAGAGCCGGCCGAGCCCCAGGGCAGCGCCGAGCCCCGGGACCTGCACTGCCTCCTAGTCACGGTGAGTCGGGGCCCCCCTCCCCGCCCTGACCCGCCCCCGCCCGGCCACCTGGGACGTGTTTATCAACAAAGCGGAGCTGGCCTGCCAGCTCAGCCCTCAGCCATGCTCGGCATGTCCCCGGCATGTCCCGTGGGCAGCCTGGCAGGGCTCATCACCCAGGGAGCTATTTTAGGTCTATGTGTTTTCCTGGCCACTCCCCCAGGCTTGTTTCTGATCCACCCCCCTTTTCTTTTCCTCCCTCAGAATCCCCACACGGACACCTGGAAGAGTCAGGGGCTGGTGAAGGTGGCCAGCTACTGTGAAGAAAGCCGGGGAAACAACCAGTGGGTCCCCTACATCTCTCTCCAGGAGCGCTGAGACCCCTGCCGGCACCAGAAGCTGCTGCCAAAAAAAAAATCGAATAAATATTTGGTCCCCCACCCCCCAGCACAACCTCCCCCCCGCCACAAAATACCCAATCCATGAGAACGTCGGGGGGCAACGTCGTCGTTGGAGACTTGAGGACAAGGAGAGGGGAGCGTGGGGTCACCCCCAGGGCGGTGGCCTGGCCGTGGCGCCATCGTCGACAGCCACGGAGAGAGGAGAAGGGGGGGATTCCCCCTCCAGCCACCAGAAAAGGGGGGTCCCGAGGCCCAGACCTGGAGACAGAGCAGAAGCCGCCGGAGTGGGGGAGCCCTGCCTTCCTCCATCAGCACAGAGGGCTGGGACTATACACTTCCCGGGGTGGGGCGACACCCATGAAGGCCCCCCACCCCAGTTGGAGCCAGGACTGCCATGTGCAAAAGAGAAAAGGACTTGGTTGACCGAGGCTATGGACCCTGGCCAGGGCCTTCTGCCTGGAGCTGGAGCCCGCCGTGGACCGGGCCCAGGGACTCCGGCTTTGCAAATCACATCAACAATCTATTTTGTTACTTGCACTTGTTCCTGGAACAGTCGCCGCACGGCCAGGACAGCACGCACAGAGCTCATCTATTTTTGTTTTCTAGGATGGCTTTGTAATAAATTGGTAAAGCCTCTGCTTGCTTCTGATGCCTTGGGGGGTTTTGAGAAGGGCAGGAACACCCCCCACACATACACATACACACATATATACACAGTCACCCCCCACCTCCCCAGGAAGTACTAAAGCCCCTGCTAGCTCCAGGCTCCTTTGCAAAAACAGAGCCTCTTTCTGCAGCCAGCGGCGCCACTAACCAAGCCCAACAAAGCTTCGCCTCTTTTTTTTTTTCCTTTCCCCTCCCTCTTCTCCCTCCTGCCCTGTAGCAATTAAAAGACTGGTTTATTACGAAACCTGCCCCGAAACCTGGCCGCTGAACCACTGTTACCGGCCGGGCTGGAGCCAGCTCCTCCAAGCTCAGAGCGCACAGAAGGCGCACGCGTTGGGGGGCTGGCCGCCTCTGCAGCCCAGAGACGCCGCGCGCCTGCCTGCGACCACACAGCGTGGTGGGCGGGCGCCAGGCCCTCCCCCGACCAGTAGCCACCTCCAGCCGGAAGCAGGGTTGTTTGGGGGAATGGTCTCCCATCCAGCTTAGGGTTTCCTTTTCCCAAACTCCAACTGGCCGGAAGAACATCGGCGCTGGCTTTGGCACGCCCTGCAGTTTTCTCTCTGAACCGAAACTGGGAGCCCGGCACGGCCCGGCCACCTCCCTGTTCTCCCCCGCGGGCAGGAGGCCCAGCCCAGCCCTTCCGCCGGGCCTCAGCCTTCCCGGGCCCGTCCGCAGGGTGGGCGCGCGGCCCGTCTCCCCCGCGGGCCCTGCCAAAGGCCGCGACCTTTCCACGGGGCCTCACGTGGGCGCGGGAGGAAAGCCCCAGCGGGGCCCCCAGGAGTCACGGGGCGGGGGAGGGGGAAGTCCCACCGAGAGGGAGGGGCCGGGATCCCTGCGGGGGGGGAGGGTAGGAGCCCTGCGGTTGGGGGAGGGGAGGTTTACTAGAAGGACGGAGCTCCGTATGGGGTTTATTATGTAGGGTGGAAATTAAGTAGTCCGAGGGGACACAGACACAGTAGAGGGGAGGGGGAATAAAGGCTGGGCGGGGGTGGTCCCCAAGGTGTTGGGAGGGGAGTACTGAAATGGAAATGAGTCCATGTCCCTAAGAGGAGGGGCCTTGCTGGGGACGGTCTAGGGATGAGGGGACCCTGTTGGGGGGTAGGGGGGAGTCCCAGGCAACTCCTCCCAGGGGATCAGGTTTCCGTTGTCCCTGCCCTACCACTCCTCAGCCCCTTAGTTCGGACGGCTGGTCCTCTTCCCTTGCATGACCTGACCTCTCACCAAACTAACTCGCTGTGTGAACCCCTGACCTCTCACCGCTAGGTGCTATGCCAGCCTCCTGGGCTGTGCCCCAAGAAAAAAACCTTCCCAGCTGGGTGACCTGGATCCAGGACCTTGACCCCCACCTACCCTCAGTTTCCGTCACTGACAACCGGGGCTAAGAGTGCTCTCTCCTTTCCAGACTGGAGATTAGAGGGGGAGTAAGCTGAGTCCCCAGATCAGCACTTGCAGCCAAGGCCCAAAAAGATTAACCCTTACCACCACTACTACTACTAGAGAGAGCCCTGGCGACATAGTGGTTATAGGCAAGGTCAGCAGTTCGGAACACCTGCTGCTCGCTCCGAGGGAGAAAGATGGAGTTTTCTGCTCCTGTAAGCGGTTACGTCTTGGGACCTCACAAGGGCAATTCAACCCTGTCCTGGAGAGTCACTATCGATTGATGGCAGCCAGTGAGACAACTACTAGAGTCAGGACTATCACGGTGATGTTGTTATTGTTTAACTACCCCCAAAGGAGTCCGGGTAGTGCAGTGGATTGATTACTCCCGGGGGCGGGCTGCTAACCACTGGGTCAGCAGTTTGCAAACCACCAGCCTCTCTACTGGAGACAGACGAGGCTTTCTACTCCGGTAAACAGTTACAGCCTGGGAAACCCACAGGGGCGGTTCTAGCAGTCCTGTGAGTCAGAATGGGCTCCCCAGCAGGGAGTGAGTTGTCCTGGAGCAGATCCCAACCCTTGTGTGCAGAGGAGTTGTGCTCGCGGCCTTCCCCAGGCAGACCACCAGGCCTTTCTTCTGAGGTCCCCGCGTGAGTTCAAACTACCACCGCTCCCATCCCCGATATGGGAACCCAGGCGAGCGGTGCAAACATGGGAGACTCAAGTAAAAGATATTTTCATGCAATACTTTAAAAAATACTTTAAAGTCCATAATGAGCATCATACTCAGCACAGAGCTAGCCCATCCCTCCTTCCTCCGGCTCCATCGGCTCCATCGAGTCTCCACCCAGCAGGGTGGCCGCTCCGTCTGGGGGGCGAAGCTTGCTGTGTTGTCACCCACGTTGCAGATGAAGCCATGAAGGCTGGGAGAGAGGACATGACCTGCCAAATGGGGACGGACCCAGGCCTTGGTGTCCCCATGTGTTCCCCCCCCCCCC